CCTGTTTGAAATGAATAAAACTAAAAAAATAAAAGACCGTACCCTTTTATGTAATGATGTTTACTTTGAATTTATATTCGTTCACACAAACACTCCATCCATGCTTTTGTTCCGGCCCTCCGGTCCAGTTGAAGAACCCATTGTGGCCCTCGAGTCAAAAAGTTTGCCCACCCCTGCTCTATCCCCTGAGCCAAACCAGCTAAGGCTATATATATATATATAAAATTTTAAATTGATTTTAGAGAGAGAAGGGAGAAGGAGAGGGATAATCAGCTAGAAACATCCAGCAGCTGCCCCCTGCAGGCCCCACACTGCGGATGGATTCTCACGGGGAATCGAACCGGTGACCTCTTGTTTCACGGGTCGATGCTCAACCGCTGAGCCACGCTGGCCGGGCGGGCGGGGGCTAAACATTCCCCATCAGCAGCTTGACTGGAGGCGCAGCAGTGCTCCTTGGTGGGACTGTCGGGGGCGGGCGGGGGCAGAGGTGAGCACAGAGGCAGTCCGTGCGCACACAGATCTCAACCTTTTCCTGGGCAGAACGAACCCCTCCTGCACCCCATGCGGGGAAGCGCCCGCGTGAGTATGAATTGGAATCTCCTGTCCGTGCGATAATGACTGGACCGGCGCCCGGCCGGCGTGGGCTCAGCGGTTGAGCATCGACCGGTGAACCAGGAGGTCACGGGTTCGATTCCCGGTCAGGGCACGTGCCCGGGGTGTCGGCTCCATCCCCAGTAGGAGGCAGGCAGTCCATGATTCTCTCTCATCATGGATGTTTCTCTCTCTCTGTCCGTCTCCCTTCCTCTCTCTCTCAAATCAATAGAAACATATTAAAAAGAAGTAAATAAGAGAGTGGACCAGTTCAGGAAATAATCGTGATGAAGAGGGAGCATCTTTCACGGGGCCGGACACCGTGTTGGGGGCAGTGTAGGTGTGGGAGGCAGCGGTGCAGAGTGCACACTAAATAAAGAGGTGGCCACAGCCACCCTGCTTTGTTTTATATTTATATATTGTGTTGGGGGCAGTGTAGGTGTGGGAGGCAGCGGTGCGGAGTGCACACTAAATAGAGGTGACCACAGACAGCCTGCTTTCTTTTATATTTATATATTGATTGATTGATTTCAGAGAGGAAGGGAGAGGGAGAGAGAAACATCAATGAGAGAGAAGAATCATGGACCGGCTGCCTCCTGCACGCCCCCTAATGGGGATCGAGCCCGCAAACCGGGCAGGTGCCCTTGACCGGGAATCGAACCCGGGACCCTTCGGTCCGCAGGCCGACGCTCTATCCACTGAGCAACACCAGCCGGGGCCCCGCCCGCTTTCTGACACACCCCTGGGTGCGGCTGGCGGTTCAGACCTGGCACGGTGGTTGCTCTGACCTCCGACGGCCTGACTCAGTCCTCCCAGGGCCGATCCCCGCTCCTCCCGGGACCTTTCGTGGGACTCGGGCCCGTGGGGACCCCCTTTCGGACGACTTGCTTCTGGACCTCTCGTCTCAGAGGGTCCCTCCTGCCTGTGCCGCTTCTAGGAGACGGAGCCAATGATGTCAGCATGATCCAGGTGGCCGACGTGGGCGTGGGCATCTCCGGCCAGGAGGGCATGCAGGTAAGACCCCTCGGGGCTGTCCCGGGAGACCGGGTGGCTCACGGTCCCCTCAAGCCTTCCCAGGGGGGAGGGGGCTCTGGCCGACAGAGCTGAAGGGGTGGCCTTCCACACAACTCATGACGGATGGCCTGCTGGTCGGGGCCGTACGAGAGGCAACTATTGATGCTCACACACGGATGTTTCTATCCCTCTCTCCCTCTCCCTTCCTCTCTGAAATCAATAAAAAAAAATTTTTAATTTAAAAA